AGGTACCGTTATGTCGGAGCTATACGAAGACCTGGACCAGCATAGACAATTTTCTGTCACAGGCTGAAGCCTCCATTACGAACTTCTAAAACGACATCTCAAAAAATTTCGGTAAGCATTGTACACAAAAGCGTCAAAATACCGAATATAGGGAGCTACTGATATATGGGGCCTATACGAAGACCTGGACCTGCAAAGACAATTTTCTGTCACAGACTGTAGTTCCCATTACGAACTCTAAATACGTAATTTGGAACTACTCCGGTGAATAATGACGCTAAAATCATTAAATTACTGAATATTAGGATGTACCGTTATATGAGGACTATACGAAAATCTGGACCTGTGCAGGCAATTTTTTGTCATAGGCTGTAGTATCCATTACGAACTTCAAACTCCATATTTGAAACAATTCCGGTGTATAATGTCGCTAAAATCATCAAAATACCGAATATAGGGAGGTAACGTTATATGGGGGCTATACGAAGACGTTGACCTGCACAGAAAATTCACTGTCTTAGACTGAAGTCTTTTTTCCGCATTTCAAATACCAAATTTGAAACAATTCCAGTAAATAATGTCGCTAAGATCATCAAAATACCAAATATCGGTAGGTACCGTTATATGGGGGCTATATGAAAACGTGGACCTACTTAACCCATTTACGAACTTAACCTGCCTACTGGAAAAATAAACATGTGTGCATAATTTTAGCCTTCTATCTTAATTCGCTCGAAACATAGCCATAGTATGGTGGAGGGTATAAAAATTCAGAGATGCATATTATTATTTGAAATGACTTTACCTTCTTAATTATACCCTCCAACTTGAATAGTTTTATCGTAGTCCCCATAAAGTATATATATTTATAATCAGCATAACAATCTAATTCAATTTAATGATCTGCCTGTCCGCCTTTCTGTTGAAATCACAACACATCTCACATTATTTGATGTAGAGCTTCAAAATTTGGCATAACAATTTACATTGTGTCTAGGACAGTTGGTATTGAATATAACTTATATCGGTCCATGTTTTACTATAGCCGCTATACAACGGCATTTTGATGATTTCCTAAACATTTTCCACGGATTTCTCTAAAACTTGGCATATGTAAGCCATAATGGACTTTAGCTCCGTTGGCGGAACATTGTATATATAGGTCCACGTTTTGGTATAGCTCCCATATAACGATGCCTCTCAATATTCGGTATATTGATTATTTTTCCACATTTTTTGCGAATTTGTCTAACAATTGGTATTTATAGTTTTTAATGGGTTCTCTCTCCGGTGGCAGAGCATTGAATATTTAGGTTCACGTTTTCCTATAGCGCACATACAACGGTACCCACCGAAACTAGGTATTTTGATAATCCTAGTCACATTTACCCACATTTTTTTTCAAATTTGGAATAAGACTCGCCGTTTTGGTATGGTTCCCATAAAACAGCCCCGCCCACTTTATGTTTTTTGAGGAGTTAAATAGATTACCCAAACGGTCTTCCTGGTGTGTGTAGTTTAAACAGGAACACGCTTCAATTTAGAAATTTTTATATAAAAATGTTTTCTTTACCCAATGACGAAGGGTATTAAAAGTTCGACCCCGCCTAAATTAATGTTTTTTACTTGTTATGACCTACTACTCTATGCGCTGGGGGTATTATAAGTTTGATTGGTCCAAAAATGATGTAATACCTCGAAATATTGGTTTCCCACGTAAGAAATTATATATGGATCTTTCTATCTCGATGAACTGAATTGGTCTAGCTATGCCATCCGTCCGTCGCAATTGAGGCTCGATCTTCACAATATTTAGAATGGAGGTGGGGCTAGAGCCAGAATAGAAACCTATTTGGAGATGATGGACCAAAAACTAACAAAATTTCCTGATTTTGCTGTTGCTCCACAGGCCGCAATTATAGACCAATCGACGCGGAAGGTCCAAATTTAGATATATTTCCCATTTATATCTCGTCCGATTTTATTGGGCGCCATATGTGTAATATAAACCCTACATTTTGGCACGTGCGAATTCAGCTGAATAGCAACTAGGTTAAATTTGGTAAAAATGGGGTCAACTCCCTCACAGCCGTTAATACAGCGATTTTAAGTACAAATATCAAAACAAGCTTAGAAATGTATTTGCGACCGAACTCAGTTTAGAAGTGTGTCATCCCATCCTATTAGAGAATTACACTTACGATCTCAAACAAATAAATTCAAATAAAATCGACAATCGGGAGGTTGGGACATTGTTGTAATGTTTTCCTTAAATATCTATTTCACTTAACATGTTCTTTCACTCTATATCTATAAAAGAGGATATCTGTTTGTACGTTTGTTTGTTTGAAATTCATAGACTAACAAACTGCTGAACAGATTTTACCGAAAATGTCCGAATTTACTACACCATAGCCTGCAAGTAACATAGGCTATATACATGTTTAAAACTCAGAAATCAGATTCGTAGGTAACCTCTGAGAGACGAAATTTGGTATAAAAATAAATTCGCCTAATTATATTGAAATCGGTTGACGTTTTGGAATAGCTCCCATATATATATTTCGGCCGATTTCATGCATTTTATGCACCAAAAGCCTTATGTAGGTTCGATTTCAATGAAATTCAGAATGTCTGGCGGAATTTGGTACAAACATAAATTTAACAAATTATATTGAAATCGGTACAGATTTGGATATAGCTCCCATATATCTTTTCGGCTAATTTCGTATATTTGATGCTCCAAATACGCTATGTATCTCCATTTTCAATGAAATATGGAAGGTGTTGCGGAATTTAGTACAAAAATAAATTTTGTCAAATTATATTGAAATCGGTTCGGATTTTATTAAGAAACATTGACCCACAATGCCTTTTCGATGTTGTTAGGCTAACAGTAAAAAACAACACAACAATTTAATTGAGGATACGATAGTTACGTGGAAGCATGTTAGTACACCGAATTCTCTAATAGCATCAGAAATGCCACTCAACTTCAAAAGATTGCAGTTATCTGTCCACCCTTTCTGGTGCCTTCTCACAAAGGGCGAAAATTTTCAATACTCTCAACCAGAGATCTGATGTGAATATAAAATGAATTGGCCCACTCCGTCAGGTCTTCCCCACAAGAGGTTCAAATGTTTGTTAGCCATTATTCTCATATAATTGGAAATCCACTTCAATTTTTTCTAATTTTGCACATTTCCGTATTTTTATACCCTCCACCATAGTATGGAGGGTATATTAAGTTTGTCATTTCGTCTGTTACACCTTGAAACATACATTTATCACTCTAGCTTTCGAACGAAACGTAGTAGGTTGATAAAATTGTACTCAAATGTATATTATGTCTGCAGGACTTTTGGTATTGAAAATGTGCCATGTTTTATTCTTTTTAAGCCACAAAATATTCGTATATAAAATTTTGAATGCATGTTAAATCACCTGGTTCAACTAGTGATATGTAAAAATTACATAGAAACAAGTAAAAAAACATTAAGTTCGGCCGGGCCAAACTTTTAATACCCTCCACCCTAGGGTAAAAGAACATTAGAAGAAATGTGGCAAAAAACATTAAAATGCCGAATATCGGGAGGTACCGTTATATAGGGGCTACACCAACACGTGCACCTATAATTACAATGTTTCGCCACACGAACTAGGACCCATTATGACCCACAAATACCAACTATTACGCAAATCCGTGAAAAAATGTGGCATAAATCATCAAAATACCGAATATCGGTAGGTACCGTTATATGGGGGCTACACCAAAACGTGGACCTATACATGCAATGTTTTACCACACGCTCAGGGACCCGTCATGACCTACAAATATCAATTTTCAGATAAATCCGTGAAAAAATGTGGCATAAATCATCAAAATACCGAATATCGGGAGGTACCGTTATATGGGGACTATACCAGAACGTGGACCGATATATCTCATTTTCAATACCAACCATCCTAGGGACAATACACACACTTGTGCCAAATTTCAAAGGTCTACGTCAAATAATGTGGGCTCTATCGTGATTTCAACAGACAGACAGACGGACAGACAGACAGACGGACAGACAGACAGACAGACGGACATCGCTAAATCGTCTTAGAATTTTATGCTGATTATGAATATATATACTTTATGGGGTCTACGACGAATATTTAGAGGTGTTACAAACGGAATGACAAAGTTAATATACCCTCCTACCCATGGTGGAGGGTATAAAAACATGCGCAAATATAATATAACATACATATTAACACACACAGCCAGATCGCCGATTTACGGCCATCGTTATATTACTTATTCGAAAACCCTCCACATAAACGTTTGGGAGGACCTTAATAATATTATAATAGCAAACACCTATGTATTTTATATAATTATAGATTTCGTTTATTAATTTGCTTATTATTGTTAATTAAAACGTGTCGTCATTGTGATCCCAACGATATATAAGGTAAACCTTATACTTTCTATATGAATTCTCCCCTCTTCTCATTTCCTCCCATTTAGGTACTTTGTATATAGCACATAGCTTGTTTCTCACGATTTGTTGTTTATTTTGAAATTTCTCCTCAAGTGGTGAAAGGCAAATGCATCACTGCTATCTGTCTATCAAAGCTGATCACCTCATACAAAAAGTTCAAAATTTCTGTTCAAAATTTGTTTAAATGAAATTCGAATACAAAAAATGTTAACAAAAACCAATCGGAAGCTAGCTAGCTCACTTGGTTTCTGTACAAAAACTTTGGGACAAAAAATACATTGCAGAGATCGAAATTTTATATAACATACGCTCTGCGAGTATGTACAGTCCGTTCGCCCCGACAAAGTATAAAAACATTAACGAAAAAAAAATTGTTAAAAATATTTAAAACTTTTAAACTTTTTATAAAATTTGCTAAAATACTAGGCGCTCAGCCGAAAAAGTCGGTTTATAAAAATCCAATGGGAATTTGTAAGCAACAACAACAAAAGAGACCTAGAAAATCACTTCGAAGAGACGCAGTGACGGTAACAACAACAAAAACACTGCTGACGCTGACAATAATAAATGCCAAACAGCTAGCATGACGATCAGTGATCGCTGTCGTCGTCTTCGTCAACATGCTAAGCACAAACAAAAATTTTGGGGATTTTTGTTGTTGTTGGTTTTCGCGATTGAGTACAGCAAAGCGTACCGCCTCGGCCGTCACCTCCGAATATAAACACATTACTCAACAACAAAAGTTAAACGAACGATAATGCTCGGCTGATAGCAGCTATTCGAAGTACATTCGTTTATTTGGTTTGGTCTCATATGATTTGGATGGGATTTGTTACCTTACCCCGCTTTCTATTAACAAAACAATGCTGTTGGATAAAGTTTATGATATTTAATATTTTGGCTTTGTGTGTAGAGATATCAGAGGGGAGAGTATGGTCGAAGTATATTATTGACCTGTATTCATCAAAAACAAAAACAAACGAATTAAACAATTATAATTAAAATCAGATCTGAGTTCTTTGATTAAACTTTTTTTTAAAAGAAGCGATGCCCTTAATGCGTTGCCTTTGTATGAGGGCTACACGAAAATGTGGCCCGCCTTTGTTTAGAGTTGATATATCCAATGACAACTTCAAATCCCATAATATAGTTAATTCTTTTGAAAAATTTATTAAAAAAAACAAGTAAAACAGGAGTAAGTTCGGCCGGGCGATCTTTGAATATCCTCCACCATTTGGAACAATTTTGGCAATTTTCATTTAAAAATTCTGCTTAAATCTTAACAAGTAAAAGAGCTGTAAGTTCGGCCGGGCCGAACTTTTAATACCCTCCACCATTTGGTACAAATTTGGCAATTTCCAAAAAAAAAAAAAAAAACAAAAAATAAAATCCGTTAAAAATTCTGTTAAAATCTTATAAATACCGAATGCCTATACGACGACTTGGACCTGCATAGGCAACTTTTGTCATAAGTTATTACAATATTTAAATGCGAAACTTGAAGAAAAATATGTTTATAATGTCGCTAAAATCATCAAAAAATCGAATAACGGGGGGTACGATATATGGGGGCTATACGAAGACGTGGACCAACATTCCCCATTTTCTATTTTATGCTGTAGTATCTATTACGAACTTCCAATACAAAATTTGGCTCATTTTTTGACTTAGGATGTAGCATCCATTACGAACTTTAAATACCAAATTTGAAACGATTCCGGTAAATATTGTCGCTAAAATCATCAAAATACCGAATATCAGGAGGTACCGTTATATGGGGGCTATATGATAACTTGGACCTACATGGCCCATTTACGAACTTAACCTGCCTACTGGCAAAATTTACATGTGTGCAAAATTTTAGCCTTCTATCTCAATTTGTTCGAAAGATAGCGTGATTACAACAGACAGACAGACGGACCAACAGACACATAGACAGACAGACGTACATGGCTAAATCGTCTTGGAATTTTACGCTGATCAAGAATATATATACTTTGTTGGGTCTGACATGAGTATTTCGAGGAGTTACAAACAGAATGACAAAATTAATATACCCTCCATAGTATGGTGGAGGGTATGTATAACAAGTAAAAAAGCAGTAAGTTCGTTCGGGCCGAACTTTGAATACCCTCCACCGTTTGGAACGAATTAGAAAATTTTCAAAAAAAAATAATAAAAACCATTAAAAATTCTTTTAAAATCTTTAAAATGTCTAATATAAGAAGGTGCCGATATGGGGGGATATACGATATTGTGGACCTATAAAGACAAATCTATGTCTGCGTGTAAAGTACTCACAAGGAACTCCTTGTGTGGACTTTCAAAATACCGAATATCGCGGGGTATCGTTAAATGGGAGCTATACGTTATCGTTAACCTATGTGGGGCCGTTATATGGGGGCTATACCAAACCGTGGACCTACATGACCCATTTTCAATACCAAAGTCCCGCAGACATAATATACATTTGAGTAAAATTGAATCAATATACTTCAATTCGTTCGGAAACTAGAGTGATTTCCACAGACAGACGGACATAGCTAAATCGACATAGAATTTTATACTGATCAAGAATATATATACTTTGTGGGGTCTAAAATGTATATTTCGAGGTGTTACAAACGGAATCACAAACTTAATATACACTCAATATGCATCCAATGACAACCTAAATTCCATAATATAGTTAATTGTTTTGGAAAATGAATAAAGAAAAAACAAGTAAACAAAGTCTATAGTCATTCGGGGCCGACCATGTGATACCCTACAACATTATTATATATTGGAAAACCTCCATAGGTCCAAAATCTTTTTTGGTCGATTAATTGAAATAATGCCATACTGTCCTGAACAAATGTTACCTTTGATTTGATTTACCGATGATATTTGCAGGGTATATTTACACTCTATGTCGTACTGATAGGTATCCAAAACAATTTAACACAAAAGTTGTGGTCCATTTTACCTGTTAGATATAATTCAAGGGTCGTCCAAAATGCTACACTTCTCCTTTATCCTCAACCCTAACCAGGTGAAAAATTCCGTGTCGTTTGGTTTGTAATTGTGACCTCTAGAGCCAATGCCAAATAATGAAAGTTTTTATTTTTGGTCCATTCAAACCCCTAAACATACATGTTGAAAAACAATAGGCTTTAATTCTGACTTTAACTCTATCCCCATTCAAAATTTCATGAGAATCGAACGATAATTGCGAATTGAATATAATACTGTAAGTGAAATATGAAAAAATCGCATGCAATAAAAAATATGACAAAAAATATAAAAATAAATATTCAATTTTTGTTTGGCGAATTTTCACGCGATTTTTTTAAATCTTATCCTTTTCTGGCAAGATGTCATTCCGAATTTGTGAGAACTCTCAAAATCCGTCCAGCCGTTCATGAGTTATAAACGGTCTAACTAATATCCCCTTCATTGATATATGAAATTGTATATATTTTTGCTATAAATATATGCGATATCATGGATATGATCATCAATGTATCGTTCCGAACTGACATATTCGTGCATTTGTGATTTCGAAAAGATTAAAAAATATTGTCGGTTTGGTGGAAATTTTCATATTTTTTAAAAAAAAAATTATGGCTTATTTTACCCGCTAAATGTTGTCCGATGATCAAACAAAATAGTAAGCTTCTGACCAACCCTAAACTGTAGCCCCATGCTAATTTCCGCGTCGATTGGTCTACAATTGCTACCTCTAGGGCAACTGCAAAATCAGGAATTTTTTATGTTTTTCATATTTCTATTTCAACCCCTAAATATGCGATCATCTCCAAAAACAATGGGCTTCTATTCTGACCCTAGCTCCACCTCCATGCTTTTTCGGTATTTTTATGATTGTTGCGACTTTAATCATCGGAATTGCTTAAATTTCGTATATCAAGTTCGAAACAGTTATTACAGTCTATGACACAAATTACTTATGCAGAACCACATCTTCGTATAGCCCCCATATAAGGTTTATCATTTGAGCGGCATTTTCCGACGGAATTTTTTTGAAATTGTTAAATTTCTGCCGAATGGTATAAAAAGTTCGGCCCGGCTAAACTTAGCTGATTTTTCACTTGTTATGCCATAAATTTAGTAAAACGTATAGGTCAATTTCTGAAAAACCATTTTGTGAGGCCAAAGTAATTCTGTTTACCATTTTTTTTGCCAAAGATAAAATTTGTTATATCTTCTCCATTAATTTTATTCGGTATAAAAAGTTTATTTTATGTTGTTACTATCACATAGTCAAGAGAAATAGGGAATCACATGATGGGTTCCGCCCGACTATCTTATATTTTTGTGCTTCATTTGTTATTTTTTGTTGACCTTATGCCATCTGTTTTTCAAATATTTGTTATATACCAAGCACCACTTATATTATTATTGTTAACAACCTTTATGTATTTTTAGTAAAAAAAAATCTCAAAAACAAAAAAAAAACTTTGCAGAAAACACTTTCACTCACTTCTGCAAAATTTCAAGGAAATCTCACAGTTATTTTGAATGGGCGCTCAGTAATCTGTAGAACGATGCCCTATAGGTAAACACACAAATCTGTATTTGTTATTTATAGCTTCAGCTATATTTTGAGATAAGTAAGAAGGCATGTGCGTAAGAAATAACAAAACTTAGTTAAGATAAATGACAATCAAACTGGGCTAATTATCAGAAAAATAATTTTTGATAAAAAGTTGAGACTATAAATAAAAAAATGCGATGAAGAAAATGGAGATAAAAACAGGTGCTTAATTCATAAGCTAAGTCAATGACTTCGAGATCAATATTATAATATTTTGCAATTAAAACGAAAAAAATATAAAAAATTTAATAACATTACTTAAAACAAGTAATAATGCTGTAAAAATGCGGCCCGGCCGAACTTTGAATACCCTCCACCATTTGGAATTTGGCAATTTTCAAAAAATAAAATATGCTTAAATTCTTAAAAATGCAGAATGTGGCCATTATATTAGCGTCTATACGACGACGTGGACCTGCATAGGCAACGTTTGTCATAAGCCATTACCATATTCAAATATGAAACTTAAAATCATAAAAATACCGTACATAAAGAGATATCGTTATATCGGAGATATACGAAGACCTGGACCTGCATAGACAATTTTCTGTCAAAGGCTGTAGTACCCATCAGGAACTTCAAATATTTATATTTCGGTGAGTATTGAACTTAAAATCGTCAAAATACCGAATATAGGGAGATACTGATAAATGGGGCCTATACAAAGACCTGGACCTGCATAGACAATTTTTCCATTACGAACTCTAAATACGTAATTTGAAACTACTCCGGTGAATAATGACGCTAAAATGATCAAAATACCGAATATTGGGAGGTACTGTTATATGGAGGCTATATGAAGACGTGGGCCGGCATTCGCAATATTTTGTAATAGGCTGTAGATATCATTACGATTTTTTATGTCCCTAAAATCTTAAATATCTAAATCGCAATATTTTGTCATAGGCTGTAGGAATCATAACGATTTCTAATATCCCTAAAATCTTCAAAATACCGAATATGGGGGGGGAGGCCCTTGTATGTGGGATATACGATATCGTGAACCTATACATACATTTCTCTTCCAGGGGGTAAGGTGCTTAGAAAGAACTTCTAGTATGGATTTTTAGGAAATTCCATTGAAAAATTTAGCTAAAATATTCAAAATACCGAAAATCGGGAGTACTGTT